TGAATTACGTAAGGTTGATAATACCAGCTCAGCCTGTGTACACTGTTAGTTTATTTTTCCTCCTACTGTAACAGATAACAGTAAGCTTGTACCAGCCTGTTTGATAACCACCAGAAATCCCGTTTCTTATTGTTCAAGTCCAGTGAGATAAGCAGTGTTCAAGACGTTGTGTTTTTGTTTTTTCTGAACATGACAGATAGGCTATCGGATACTCCTCGTACATGCCTGAGGAGCCACGTGTGCTAGACTGGTACGAAATGGTTGGAGTGTAAACTGACAGTGTCTTTCATGTTAAAGAACAGGAGATAGCTTGATCTCCTCATGCCTTTTTTGCTGATGGTGGGGTTGGAGGGGTGCCAGGGGAATATCTCTAGCGCTTTTGGCATAAAGCAGAACTATTACTGCTCTGTGCTGCAAGCACCATATCTTGTAGATAAAAACAAATGATCCAGGCACCAAGGCTGGAGTTGTATTTGGTCTCCTGAAAGAACCTTCAGATAGCATTTCTGCTCTGGTGCTGTGGTTAAGGAGAACCTGTTCATTCTTTGAGAATTCAAACTCCAAAGTCTGCGCTTCCCTTATTTTTTAAAATTTTTTAAAAAATATATGAAACATTCAAAATCAAAAGTAATTCTTCCATTCTGCTTTTTCTGAGTGGGTGGCTTATGTGGTTGCCAGCTGGGCTGTTGAAATGGATTGGTGATCCCACCAGCAGCAAGGATGGGTTGGGGATATTCCCAAGTGGAGTGCTGGGAACACTGGGGTGAGCTGTGCTGGTCCTGGGGAGAAGCAGCGTGGCTGTGCCATAGCAGAGGCACAAGGTGCTCTCTGGACAGAGTGCAGGAATACTGGTAAAACTGTGGGCATTTAATTTGCATCTGATTAAAGATGAGGCAAAACTTCAGACTCTGAGCAAGCTGGGGGGAAAAAATGATGGGATCCAAAATGTTGGAAGCTGTGTGTGGCACACTAGCTTCTTCCTTGTTCTGAAACAACTTGCCTACTTAGCATGTTTCATACCTTCTTTCTTAAAACACCCTCAAGACTATTGCCTTCCTCTCATATTTTCACTAAACTCTGTTGTAGCTCGGTCTGTTTCCAAAGAGAAAAAGGGTCCATCAGTTTTACATCCTGTTCTTGGTCAGTGGTGATAGAAACATCAGAGAGGTTTGGCTCTCACTGTCCAAGAAGAGAAAGATCTATGGAATTTGCCCAAAGTTACACTGAGGCCTTTAAACCAAAATGAAGGGGTCTTTCATAACTTAATTGAAGCTGAATTTGGTTGGTGTAAATAATGCAAAATGGTTGCCATGCATGAATGAGCTGAGAAATTGGTTTTGAGTGAGGGTAGAGGAAGAGACTTGGAGTTCTTGAATTGGCTTTGATCATTGGATTTATTTGGCCTTGAGGTCTGTACCTTGCCTTGATGTGTTTTAATGCATTAATAGATTGTGATTTTATTGCTAGAAGTGAGCATTTTTAAGGCACGGATTAGGTACCATTGTGTTTTAAATATTGTGGGGCAAGTGTCCTCCAGGCCTGACAGCTTGCTTGGTTCAGGATAGATTTGTCTGTAGCCCACAAAATGTAGCACTGGATTACAATAATCACCTTAAATGAATGTGAAAAGTCAGGTGTGTACTAGGCAAAAGTTAATGCTCCCTGCTCTATGCCTCCCTTACACATCTCATTTCTCTACTGAATTGTCAAAGCTGTCACTTCATGTTTAGGAGCAGAAGTGTACTGGCAGAACAAGTGAAATCTTTGCAGGGCAGAGTTTTGTGTAGGTATTGATACTGCTATAAATAGATGCAACTGCACTTACATCTAAGTCAAACTGATCCAGGATGGTGAAACTTTGATCCCAGTCACGCATTCTCCTTGTGGGCCCAGTGTGCTGTGCCCCAGCACTTCCCAGCCCCAAACCATTGGGGTTTGTGTACTTCATCAGCCCATTTCCTTCAGATTTTGACCAGCTGCTGCCTTACAGTTTGGGAGGTACCCATAGAGGCAGGTTGTGTTTTCCTAAAGAGATGAGTAACTTTCCCTCTCCAGTTTCACAGGAAATGGGAAAGGAAAGAGGCTGGGCAATGTTTAACTGAACAGGTCTTGCTTCTGTTTAGCAATGAGCCCATCATCAGCTAAACAGGCAGCAGAATAATTTCACCTTCTAGTGCCCCTTAAAAACTGTTCCAGAAGCTTCAGCTGAACCACAAAAGCTGACACCTGGGCAAAGAACTTGGGTTTCTGTGAGGTTTTTGCTGTGCACAGCTGACTTCCCTCTGCTTTGCTGGAGTCTGGGTGGGGAAAAAGCTGACAGAGCAGCTGCTGAACTTGAGGTACCTCTGCAGGTGTCCCCTTGTGCTGGTTTGACAGCAAACCAGTGGGAGATCCCAAGTGAGAACTACAATTTAATAGGAAAGTTAAATTCAGTGGTACAAAACCACTGACAGAGTCAGCAGACAGCCTGACACCCAGTGGGTCAGGGTGTTGGTAGCCGTGCAATTAATGGTGGCTGCAGTCCTCCTGCAGATGTGGTTCTGTTGAAGCAGTGATCCTGTAGAAGGGTGTGGTTTTCCTCTGAAGGTCCAGGGGTGGTGTAGATGGGATTCCTCTGGGAATCTAGTGGGAAAAGGCTGCTCTGGTGTTCCAAATCTCAGGTTATATCCAGGTAGGAATGCTTGGCTCCTCCCCCAGGTGGAACATCTCACGCTGGGATGATGTCACTTTATCAGTCATGCAGTGAGACCCAATGACCCATTAATGGAAGATGTCCCCTTGGAGGGGGGATGGCTGGTGGAGGAGATGAAGAACACCGCCCCACCTGGTTTTAACAGCTGGTAATTGAATCCATACTTTTGGTTACATCTTGCATTGCAACCTAAGACACCCCTCAAATACCTTGTTTCCTGCATGATGGCCAAGCCCTGTCAGGAGCCTCTGTCTAGGCTGGTGGTCTCAAGGCCACCATAACATGTTTCAGTACCTGTTGTAATGGGACCCAAGCAGCAGCTCAGGAAGTATCGGGTGGGGGTGATGCTCTTGCGCAAAGTTGTCACAAACGTGTGCTGATGGAAACGGCCACTCTCTTCTGCCCTCGTGCCAGTGTCAAGGCCACCAGCTGGCCACTCACCTGTGCTCATCTAAACAGAGCTGAAATTGCAACAGGAACCTCTGGGGCTGAGAAGTGTCAGTGAGCATTGAAACTCCTTGTGGCATCCTTGTGAGCTATGCACTCTGAAACTCAAATGGAATAGGTTTTCCTCTTTAAGGGTAAAATTTTCCACGAAGGATGGCTTAGTAGCTGGAATGGTTTTACAGGCTGATGGTGACATTTCATTAACAGGAATTGCTATTCTGTGTCTTGTGTTGTGCATGTGTGGTTACAAGATAGATTTACTGTGAGACATGCAGAAATATAGGGGAATAGGGGTTTTTTTGCCTTTCTGGCAGGCTTTTTATTTTTTCATTGTTGCAGCCTGTTCTTCCACACTTTCTTCCATGCTTGTGAAAGCAAGTCTCAGCTTCTGACTTCTTTACTTGCTGCTAACACCTGACTCCAGCTCATTTTATATGTGATGTATAAGCCCTAGTTCATCCTTAAGAGTAGTTGCAGTCTGGCAGACTTATTTTTTTCTCTTCTCTGTGTGATGTCGTTGTCTTTATGATGAACTTTATGAATAAAATATGAATTTTGTCCCACTGAGGAAAGTTACTTGCTGTGTTGGATCACAAGCATTATGTGAACAAGCTGGAAAACTAATAAACACTTTTTCTAATGACAGCCTTTGTGGTTTAACACCAATCCTAGGGTTTTTTGGTAGCTGAAAATTGAATAACTTTCAGCAGAGGGAAATAACTTGAGTAATTCAGCAGAGGGAAAAACAATTGGTCTTCCCATTAAAGAATGTTTGGCTGGGGGGTTAGCTAAAAATAGCACTTTGTACCAGTCTTTGTTCTTCCCCCATGCAATGTCTATTATGAATGTTTTGTAGGTGATGGTTTAATGCAGTGAGACTCCTGATTAGCTGGTCTCAAATCTGCTTTTCTTGTATTTAGTTTAGAGAGAGCAGTGATAATTTACTCATCACCCTTTCTCCCTTTTTTTCCCCCTCTTAAGAGCCTCTCTGTTATATTGGGACTTTCTAATGTTTCTGCAAATGGTATCAAGTGTCCTCAACCTTTGCATGTCACTGAAAGGAAACCAGTTTGCTCTGGTCTGTGCTTGACTGGAGTTGTTTGAAATTTCTTCCTACCGTAAACACCTTGGTTCCTTTGACTTGTGGTGTTCAATTAAGCCAATAAAACCTGTCGTTAAAATCAGGATGGCATTTGGCATCTTGCCCCCAACTGTTTAAAAGTTGAGCACATCTCCCTTCATATTTGCTTCCCTCTGAATCTGCAGTAGAAACTCATAAAAACACTTAGACTTCACAATGCAATTTCCCTCAATAATTTCTCTATTGCTGCTGAAAATACAGAAGTGAAGGGTGATCTATGTCTTTGATTGCTTAGTGTCTGGGGAGGTACTCAAAATACTGTCAAATTTAGAAAAGAGGTGCTAAGAGGCAGCAGTGGAGCAGGGAGGGAGTTGGATCCATTACAGGAAGCAATCCCTATACAGATATCACAATCCCCAGTGACCTTACTCTGTAGAGGATTTATTTTTAACTTCATGTAGTTCAAAGGCATGTTAAAATGTAAATCACCAAAGTGTTGTGTCTAAAATAGGACAGTCTGTGTCCTATATAGGAGTGAGGAATGCTGTGGAGAGGAATGAATCCTAAACATGGTTGACTTAGCCACTCATAGGTAATGGGACACACTTTGAGCTGGACTAACACACAGTGGTGACACTCGTTCCATCGGTTCATATTGAATCTATAAATACTATTTAGAAACTTCCCACAGCCATTTCTTTAGCACTTGAAGCAGGACATCTAAGACAGTGCCTCTGATACCACACCTGGGAACTGAGCATGAATTCCCCTTCTTTGCAGGTGCTGAAAAGATCGTTGCAATTATGATTGGCAACCTGAAGGGCATGGAAATCCTGCACCGGATTCAGAGCGGCTTGAAAGTCACCATGGTCATCGAAGTGGGCAAAAAGCGCAGTCTTTCCATGAATATCTTCACCATCCTCTTCATCTCTGTGTCCTTCTTTGTTGTGGCAGCAGCAACTGTGGGCTGCTATGTCTCTTACTCTGCTCGGAGACTCATTATGGCAAGGGCCCAGTCCCGGGAGCAGGTGAGTTTGTGCCGTTATTTCTTTATACCCCCGTCCCTCCTTGGTGTGGGTCTTGAGGTTTGTACGTTTTGGTTAGGTACCAAAATTACTGAATTTGTGTGATCTTTAAAATGCTAAGAGATACATCTTTGCTCAGCTTAAAACTTTCGTGAAGAACAGCCAAGAGTAAACTGTGTGGAGAAAAGGTGACTGTGCTCAGCTAACTGTGTTGCCTACAAATAATTCCCTGAACTGCAGTGTAGCCCTAATGCTGATGTAGTGAGAGCTGTGAGAGAGCTAAACTGCTTTTAGCTCACCCTTATCCTTCCCACACAGCACTGCCTATGTGCTTGCCATAACAGGAGACACGACTGGAAGTGTGCCTGCAAAATGGGGCATGACTTTAGCTACAGGTTGAGAGGCTGCTGCTTGTTGAAAGCTGCTTTCTGACTGAAAGCTTTCTGAGAATTACAGTGACAGACTCAGGGTTGGAAATATTGGAAGCTGTCATCTGCCTGTGACATGTAGCATTGCCACTCCTGGATGAAATGTGGAGTTGCCTTTAACTTGATGCTGTTCTCTTGCTGACATTTGTGGACAGAGATGCAGTCTCCTGCTGATGAATCCCCTCCTTCAATACCCTGCCATCTACCTTAGTCTCACAGCTCTGTTTAACAATGCTAAATAAATCTGAGCAGGAAAATCTGGGTGGCCTAAGCACTGTTCATTAAATCAAATTTAAATGTTTCCTCCTTAGAAGGTACATAAGAGTGCCATAGTGAGCTATAAGGCTTTCAAGAAACTGCAGATGTTATTAATGCCTCAGTGATAGCTGGTACTGGGAAAATCCAGTCTGCTTGGCTAGAAGTCTTGGCTTCCATGTGCACAAGGAGCTTGCTGCTGGTTGAAAAAATAGCATGGATAAATGACATGCCAGTTCCATGTGATTTCAGCAGAACTGAAATCAAGGAGCCCCAAGAAGTGCTTTGTGGAGTATAAGAATACAAGAAAGCTTCTCTGCTGTCAGGGGGTAAACATACACTATGCTGTCAAGTGAAACTCAAAGACAATCCAGAATTGTTTTCAATTATTTTTATACCCTGGCTTCTCAGACTGACCTCACAGTGATTAGGTAAGTAAAGAATAGCAAGAAAATGCTTGTTAGTTCAGGTGAACTAGTAAAAGGTGATGCTGCCATGTGCCCTGTTAGCTGCTGACTGGATTTTAGTGTAGATCCAGAGTTTGAGAGTTTTAAGTGCTTTGGCTCCAGGAAGTACTGAATATTAGTCAGACAACTTCCTGGCTTGTGTGGTACATCTTGGTGGCTTTCCTGTCACCGTTCAGCCCTTTGAAAACCCAGATTGCTTGGACTTGAGTGAATATTGAGAAAAGCCAGTCATGTCAGCTTCTGATCCAAGTGAAAAGAGAAGTTTGGTAGCACATCTGTCCTAACCTAACAGTTAAACCAGAGTAGTTCTTTCCTCTTGAGCAAGCTACACTGTGCAACCTGCTAGTTCCTTCTTGAATGCATCTTTTCTTCTGGGCCTGAAATTCAAGTCTCCACCTCTGCAGTCTCTTCCTGCATTGGGAGGTCAGTGAGCAGGAAGCTGGAAAATTGAGGCAAGTGTGGTAGGTGGATTTCTACCTTTCTAGTCAGTGGAGTACTGACAAATTCAGTTCTCAATATAGTAACCTTTCTTAATAGAGCAAAATGGCCCATGATGTTATCAGTGGCCTGGTTTCTAATTTCAGCTCAAGTCTTTGCTTCCTTTGATTTCATAAAGATTAGATGTTGCAGCTGAGAAATTACCTAATTAATGGCTTTGGAGGAGGCAAATTGCTCAACTTTTAACAATTCAAACTGCTTCAATGGCAATAGTTACCTGTGGGGAAGAACTTCCTTAGCTTACAGGAGAAAAGCAGGAGTTCCCAATCTCCTCAGAGCTGTCTGGTCTGCACTGCCATGACCATGCTCACAGGATGACAGGAAGGCACCCTTATGCAGAAAGGGCTGCAAGTAAAATTAGCAGCTTTGAACAAGGAAGACTTAAGACTGAGTGACTCCAAACCTAATTTTCCCATTTAGATACCTCACTACTACCTGCCAGAGCCTGGATAGAAGTTGGGACCTGACCTGTTTTGTAATATCTTGATTCTATTTCTTCAACTTAGCTTTTTTTTTTTTCTAGCTTTTTCTGTGTTGGGGATTTTATAGTTCTAATATAATTCATGATTCACACTCTCTTGAAAAACCTGGCTTCACAAAATGCTTTGACATTCCAAGCTCGAATATCCTGATAGACTATTCAACATAAAGCTTCTTCTGCAACCTTTCTCCATCCCCTGGAGGGGTGTTCTGCTGTACTTGCCAAAATCAATGTTAAAGGTGACTTTGTCATTGATGCATTTAATGAGGAGCAATTAAACTGGTGCCCATGCAAAACTTAAAATATTGTTTCAAGTAATTATTAACAGTGCAGCCAGTTGGGTCCTGTTTAATATGCTTGGCCTGACATTAGATGTGCAGATGAGATACTGTATGTGGGAGTACATTCCTAGAAAGTTTAGTTTTCAGTTTTAGTTTTAGTTTTAATAACAAGTAGTGGTGACAGTTCTGGCCGTGTTTGAGAAGTACTTGTGTTGCTGCATTCCTGCTCAGTTGATGCTCCACATTTGCTGCTCACACTGTTGGGGGCCTCAGTAAGCAGCAGCATGTGGCTGCTGCCCTGCGGCTTCAGTCTCAAACCTTGACAAGGACAACGTCATTTCAAAGTTAACCTTAAGTGACATACAGAAACATATATTGATGTCTTCAGCAGAACTTCACAAACTTGCAAGAAAACCTCAGTAGTTCTTGTTTCTAAACAAATGTGCATGTCTGCATCCCTCACCTTTGGATTGTATGTGTCTCTTCCTTGTTAGTAGCTGCCAGCTATTAAACTCCTGAAGCATGCACATGGATCCTCTTATCTTAGGGCACAAAACCAATACTAATACAAAAATAGCTCATTTTGTGCTAAAACTATTTGACAGGGTCCCACGGGGATGTGTAAATCAACTTGTTTGCTATTAACTGCTTTAGCACAAGGAATCTTACACAGACTTGAATGGCCAGTCCTTGCAAGATTGTTAGGTGTCAGCAACAGCCCTTGTCCCACTTGTCCTTCTGTACTTGTGCCACTAGTACTGCACTTGGAAAAGTTCATGTCACATTTAGCTAAAATGCCTAAGGAGATGGAATGCTGGAAAGGCAGCAGTGTGGGACTCCTGCACAGAGCAGTGGAATTGGAAAGAGGCTTTTTGGTTACCTGCAAAACTTGAGTCTAGTCTGTCCCTGAGGTTACTGTTGTGTTGGGGATGGCACTGCCAGAGCTGCCTGAAGTGCCCCAGGTAGGGAGAGGACAGTCCCATTCCTTGAGTCAGTGGAACAGCACCAGCCTGTGTCCCGGGCTAATTCCAGGTACTGCAGTGACAGCTGGACAGCAATAGTTTCCAGGAAAGCTGTAAAGCAGTGGAAGCAGAGGAGTAGTTCAGGGTGTATTGGTAAAGGGTGGGCTGATTGGTAAAGGATCTTTCTCATCTTTCATCAGAATGTTTGTGGCAGGAAGGTGTCCTAAAGTGAGTATAACATAAAACAATTGATTGTTGAATTCCATGTTCAGTCTTCTGTACCAAGTCAGTTTGAAAGCCTCTGTTTGTTTTGGCTGGGTCTAATGTGATCAAGGTATTATCTTGCATCTTCTCAAACTAAAAGACCCTTATAATTCCTGTGCTTTGTGAGAAGGTTAGGTACAACCAAAGCAGACATAAATGCTGTCTTAGTTCGTCATGCAGTCAGGAACTGCATCAGTATGTCCTGAAACTCAGTTTCATGTTGACTCCAAATAGTATGGTCATGCTTACTTGGCTTATTTTGATAACATCTGGGTTTTAAAACTTGCTTGCTTGCAGTAGGCACCGGGGTAAGTATTAGTAAATGAACAGAGCAATGGCAGTGACTGACCAGGACTGCTTTGTGTCGCAGCGGCGGCTGAGGGCCAGGGCCAAGAAGGCCATTGAACAGATGCAGCTGCGCACCCTGAAGGAAGGGGACAAGGTAGGACTGACCCTGTGATCTCCCCTGCACTGCAGCACAGCCTTGGCATGAAACCCAGGCAGCTCCTAGTACTGGAGAGGACGCAGAAGTCTCTCTGAGCCTGTAACTCTTGGTGGCAGAGACAGTTCCTCTTTCAGATCAGCTCCTTTTCCAGGCTTCAAGACTTCTATTCAGTATAAACCAGTTTATTTTGTTAGCTGCTTGCTTGTAGTCTTGCTGATGTGAGACGACCTAATTTGCTGGCATAAATGCTTAAACATAAACTAGTATCTAATCAGCTTCTCTGGCTCTTCTTGTAACTAAAACTGGAGGCAGCAGTTTCTAAACCTCTACACTAGTGCCTCCAGTAATCCAATAACAGTTTCAGCTGGAATTCTAAACCATGGGTTTAAACTTTCAATGCTTCTTTTGAAGTGTCAGCTTGACTGTGAGTAATCCACAAAATGTGTTTATGTAAGATTATATTTGGGAGCATCATGGATGACCCCTTTGTCTGCAGTAACTCTGATTGTTCAGAGGAAGCTTTCAAAGTGCATTAAAGCTGTAACTTCATTTCACTGTTTTAGGAAACTGCTCCAGATGGAGATTCCTGTGTTGTGTGCTTTGAGCAGTACAAACCGAATGATGTAATGCGTGTTCTGACTTGCAAGTAAGTTGTCTTCCAGACTGGCCCTTTATCCAAAATTCTGCCATGTTTGTGAACAAACTTTCCTCAAGTTGTCGTACAGTGAGACTTCTTGAATATCTATCAAAACAATGTTTTGAACCACAGAAACAGTGTGAATACACAATTGCAGTGTGCCCCAATGGCCTGTGTTCATCACTTCCCCTGGGAGTGGATCGACACACATAACTTGGCAGACCACAGTGTCCCTCAGTGGGATGCCAGGACTTTTTAAGGATTTCTACCTTTGCTGGTGTATCAGAGTGTTACCACTAACTTGCAGGTAATTGGCATAATGTTGCCTGTTTCTTGTCCCTTTAATTACTGTTTTCTACGAGGGTTGTGTTTCTGCTAAATTTGTTAAAATGTGCTGGCTTTTGTAGTTTAGAAGAAAGCACTTCTATTCTTGTATGCATCCTCTGAAACAGAGACCAAAATAGAGCTATAGCAGTTTATTTTTCTACAGTTATCTCCTATGTTATCTCACTGCTGTGCTGCTGAGGAAGCCCAGTAATGAAGCACTAAGGCTTTAATGTGATTGCTCCTAAGGTGAGCAATGAAGCTGCCTTAGGGCTTAAGGAAACTTGTTCTGTGGGATTTCCACCTGTGCCTGCTGACTGGAACTGCTCTGGTCAAGCTTCTAAAATCAGAGGGCTGCCACATGAACTGCCCAAATTGTACAAAGGAAGAGGTGTCATGGCCCTCAGGGAGGGTTACAAAAAGTACTTGGAAACATTTTGATATAGGGAAATGAAGTTCTGAAGAATATAATAATGAGAAGGTGAAAAATGAGTTGTGTGCTGAGCAGTGCTGTCAAGCACTGGCAAATCTCAGCTGGAGTTACCTGTGCTCCAGGTTACAGTTTTACAGAGGCTTTCTCTGTTCCCAAGCAGTAGGACCTCTAAGCTGTTTTGGTAGTACCAAGTTGGTCTGCTAAGGTGTTATCAACCATCTCCCTCGATCTAATGCTTAATACTTAAAAAAACCCCAAACTGAATAACCTTTGAAGCATGTATGTTAATGATTATCCAGTTGTCTAGTCATGTTTATGCTCGTAGGTAGTTTTGTTTAGTAATGGACTAAGTGCCATGAGTACAGAAACTTGTAGATGGGCTCCAGACACTTTGCCTGATAGGAGACCTGACTTCTGATTATTTCCCTATAAACCCTGCTAATCTTGTTATGGACCTGCAAGCAAAGCATGGCTTATTTGGGTAAGAGTGGAGTAACGTCTTTTGATTGTGTTCTTTGTACACAAATTAGCTGCATTTGCTCTGAGACTGCTTTTACATACATTTGTGATCTTTCCTTCCTCTGTGGCCCAAGTGCAACGCTCAGAGGCACGCTAGCTTAAAATGACTCATGGACTTGATAATCTTCACGAGCGGTGATATCTGCCAGTATCAACCATATTAAATTTTCCCTCATGTGAGTTATAAACTAATATTTACTGCAAGAACAATCTTGATTTTGTTGGTTGACCTCAATACTGAGACCCTAGTTGGTGAAAGCATTTAACTGTATCTGTGAAAGAACCAATCAAAGGAATGTTCCTGTGAATCACATTGATGGTATCTGAGTCCCTGGGGTGTGGGTATTTGCCAAGGGCATTCTTGCCCAGAGAGTCAAACTGAAAGCATTTATAGTTGCAGAGGTTCACAAATCCAGTATTAAGTTCAAGGACTAAAATAGTCAGGAGTTAAGAAAGTTTCAGGTTTTATTCTAAACAGGACGTGGGTGCAGCTGGAAGGAAGTGCTGATGATGTGAGCTGAATTGGAGAATCCTTGGCTCCTGCTGGAGTGTAGGCTGCTGAGCATTGGATGTGGTTGATTAATACTGAGCAGTGCTTGTTTGCCTTGCTGTTTCTATTTAGGCTGAGGGAACAGGCAGATCACAGGATTTCAAGTCATCCTCCTAAATCTGTGGCCTAATTTAAACCGATTGTGAAAATGAGTGTCTTAATAGAAGCACACATTTGCATCTGTGATGGCTGAGCTATATTTATTTTCTTGAGTGTACAGCCTGCCAAATATCCACTTGGAATACAGAGTAGTTGCACAGACACAGTAAATGGGTGGGAGTACAATTTGTCTTGAGGACATAACTCTGTGAGATGATTTGCCTATGTAATTACAACAGAAACAAATGCTATTTAGTCATCTACATCTGTATGACAGAAGTTAACCTTAAAGCTAAGGCTGAGATGTCCATAGTTGTATAATTTAAATTATCAGCTGGGAATGTATTGTACACAGTTTTGGAAAAACAGCTTTAGACTGTTGAGGTGTAGCAAAAATGTTAATGCTGAATTCTAGCAAGTTCTATTGGGATACTAATAAGCACAAACCAGCTACAGGTTGAAAGATCAACTGTCCAGAACTTTCAGCTGAAACTTGTGGCAAAATAAGGTCATCCATTCTAGAAGGAATAAATTCTTGGTGTTGCAAAAGGGTCCTTCATAGCTGGCACATGAGCAATCTTCCTAGTATGAAACCTAACCTGTTTGCTACCTTCTTCCACCAGCCATTTCTTCCACAAGACCTGCATTGACCCCTGGCTTCTGGAGCACGGGACGTGTCCTCTGTGCAAATGTGACATCCTCAAAGTGTTGGGTGTGGAGGTAAGCCAGCAGCCTGCCGTGGTGCCAGCTGCCAGTCTCAGTGTTACACTGGTGTCACGGCCACTTCTTCAGCTTTTTCATGCTGCCTCTAGAGTGCAGGTGGCAAGCACAGGTGTGCCATGTCTGTGGCCAGATGCTATAGGAATAATTGTGGTGTCCCTTTTAGGGAAGCCTGCAGCTGAGTGAGTTGGTATCACCTAAAGGCTTGGGCAGAATGTCAGCCAGAGCTGACTCATGCCTGACGGAAGAATCGCTCTTAACTCTTGTGCTTACAGCTAAGGGTGTTTCTCAAACCTTCAGGCAGACTTTGACAACTCACACTGTCCCTGAAACCAGCTTCTCTTGGTTGCTCAGTACCTGGAGCCCTTGAAAAGTGAAGGTGTTAGCATGTACAACATTTCTGGAGCTGCATGACTTCCTGGGATACATCAGGAGTTTCTGATGTGTCTTGTAATTGCTCCTTGTTGCAAGTGCCAGAGGAAGATGCTGTTGCCAGTGCCTGATGCTTCCTGGATCAGTTAATCTGTGAGCCAGAGTTTGTCTGAGGGAGGCAGATCTGCAGTGAGTGGAAGGAAGACTTTTCCTGATATTGGGGAAAAATGCAGAAGCTGTGTCTGAACTTCCCATTCAATTAGGCAGAAACTGGTTTTCACCTCTGATGCACCTCTGATAACAGCAGAGCTTTTATTCCATTTTGTGTTTTTCCCTCTGCATAAAAGTGCTCCAAACTCAGTCCTTGCAGGCACTGTTCTCCCAGAAAGATGCACCCTCCTGCCAAGTTGTAATTTAACCATTTTCTGTTTTTTTCACAAAGATGGATGCAGAACCACGGTCTGAGCCTGTGCAAGCCCCAGGATCCAGTGGCCAAAGACCTCTATCCACTGTTACTATAGTTAATGAAGAGGACAATCTTAGTGAAACAGCATCATCTGGATATGATTCTGTACAGGGACCAGATGAGTCTGCTCAGGAGGCACAGGCACCGTCAGAAAGTATGTCTACTCTTTCATCTGCCTTGCTAGATCATTTGCAGTTTGCTGCTTAGGCTGTGAATTAGGGAGAGTTGCCTTCATGGCATCTCACAGGGCTTGAATACTTTGTTTTTCAGGGTTTTCTTAATCTTCCGTTTTGTTTTAGCCCTTAGGTCTGATACTTGGTCTTTGTTTTCAAATGAGACACAACATTAATGTGAATTAAAAGCCAAAGTCTATGAAAGAATAGTTCAAAGTCAGAGGCTTACTACTTCAAGAGCAAAGAGATTTTTCCAAAGATGTCCCTTATCCCTTTGTCTCTTTGGAGAGTTCATTTGGATGAGTGAGTTGTTTTGCTACTAGATCTGTCTGCTTTAAGTAGTTACTTAAAAAAGTTGTGGGGAGTCAGTCTTGCTCTAGCTTAGATGGTGCAAGATAGAGAAGACAGATACTTCAATTGAATTTCAGATTTGCCAAGGCTGAGTCATCCTTGGCTTTAGAGAGTGTTAATTTGTGAAGACTATCAGATTTTCCAAATACTTTATCTTTTTGAACAAGAGCAAACAAATTGAAAATGCCTTTTTAGTGCTCAGCTTTACAAACACATACTCAGTGTTGCTGTTGGTTTTAAAAATTAAAAGGTTGCAGGTAAACAAATGAAAGTAACTATCCCCTGAATTGTGGCATGGCCTTAGGAAGGGGATGCTCTATTTCCCATGGGAAGCCTAGCTGATGGGAAGATTTGGGATTTGCTGCCTGTCTCCTGCAGGACATGTTGCTACAGCAAGTGGGGTGTGTTTGGGAGTGCCCTGTTGAAGCACCCCAGTAGAAGACACTTCCTATGAGCTAAACATCAGAAATTGAAATTGCATCCCTCCATCCCTCTAAGCAGCTCAAGGCATGCTGGGCCATGACATTACATGGGTCATTCTTGTGTATTCCCACTTGAAGTGGGAAGGACACACAGGGACATCAGCCAGACAGGGTTAGTCTGTAGGGAGAAGGCCTTCTCCAAATCAGCACAGGCCCCCCTCAGTTTATCCTGAGCCTGGTCTCTAGGAGTTGCTCGTGATGCCTGCCTTCAGCAGCCTTAAGATACAAGACCTGCTACTAGTTGGATTCTGTAGCTTTCTGTGGCTTAAGCACACAACTTCAGCTTGCTCAGCACTACTGAGCTGAGCAGGCATCTCCACAAGGGACAGGCAGTGGCAAGAATGGGCTCCCAAACCAACAAGGGGCAGCAGGAGAGAGGTAGTTGGAGCATGGCCTTGGATTTCCATCTCTGCAGGAAAATGCAGTTTTTTGAGCTTGTGCAAACAAGTTTGTGTGGTTTGCTTTAGGATGGCAACACTTGGCTGCAGCACTTTTTAACTTGTCTTGACTTGGTTTTCTTCTGGACAGATGACAACACACATCCTGTGAGTGAAGAGTCCCAGCCCTCCACTGTGACTGTCCTTTCTCATGGTGACAACCCAGGTTTTGAGGGAGATGAAACACAAGTTTGTGAAAGCAGAATTGTTTGTGAAGTCACATTCTAAGAACATGCCCAGCCACGTGGTGCAAGCCTTCTGCAAGGAGCTGCCTACTGCCATTCCATATAAAACAAAAGTTGCAAGACTGCTGCAGAAAATACTGCATTGGCAATGCTTAGATAAATAGACTTGTCCAAATCGTAATTGTATGGTTTGCCTTTCTTAAAACTGTATTTCCCACAGGAGTCTTAACACTCTCCAGATAAAGCTGTCTTAAATATCAAGAAAACCAGCAGATTTTAACTAAAACAAAAATTCCATCTTCAGCAAAGCTTCTCTACCGTGTTTGAGTTGTTTAAGTGAGAAGATTTTGTACGTCATAGTTGTCTCCACTGGGAGTTGTTTTGAGTTGGGTTTTTTTGTTTGTTATTTTCATTCAAGTGGATTTTCATTGTAAACAAATTATTTTGATCTGTTCTGATACTTATTTATGAGACAGTTTTGTTTAAAGCAACATGGTATTTAATGTTTCGGTGCACTATTTTGATAGGAGAAAGTGCAAACTAATGCTTGTCAAACTGGATTTTGTCCACAGTGTCTTTGGTTCTCTAGTAACCGACTGATTTCTCTACCTCTCAACTCCAGCCTGCCAACCACACATTCCTAAAGGGGAAGAAAAGAGAGCTGCAAGCTGACAGGCCAAATCTGACTTACTGTAAAGGGAACAACTGCAGGAACTCTTCAAACCTCGTTAACCTTAGTGTGTTAGTCTGAAAGATCCTCAAGTGATTTGGAGCTCTAACCATCTCTAGCACCAGCAATATGCCAGAGTCCTGGCTTTGTGGGAGTCTGGGATGACTTCAGGAAAGACTCAGCCGAAGATGAACAGATAGGTTCTCACGAAAGGATCTGCTGTGTTTTGTTCAGAAATGATCCAGTCTCTGTAAAATGCTGGACTGTTGCTGTACATAGTCTTGCTCAAGTGCACAAGCTGCAGGGAGAGCCGATGTCCTGTGAGTAACAGAGGGTTGGAGAAGCTGTCTGTCCTCTGTGTGGAGTTGAGATGGGGTCAGGTAGGAACACTGGGTGCCTCAGTAGTAAGTGACTTGGCCTTGTCCAGTGAAGGTAACTAAGGACATCTTATAAATGCACTTTATTTTTTTACCTCTGCATCTTTGACTAGTTTCTATTGTTTAGTAGGATTTTGTCTCCAATAAATAACTTAAGAATCTGGGGGGGGGAAGCAATGAATTTTCTTAGCTATAGTACAAATGAAATGGTTGTAAATATTTAATAATTTGTATTGAATTTGAATATGAAAATGTAAATGTAAATAAAACACTATTTTTGATGATCCTGACTGACATAAAATATTACCAGCTCTCATGGAAGCAGATGCTGAATTTGCCCTGTCCCACAACCTTGAAACACATCCTTCTTTTGGGAGACCAAAAAGAATCAGTGTTTGCTCAAAGTAACTGAAATAAGGAGTGCTAGTTATGTGCAGGATGCTTCTGTTACATGGATTGAAATTGTGCTGAGATGCTGAAACCTATAGCTGTAAGGAAAATCCAGCCACCTTAGGATGTGTTGAGTGAGCTGCTGAATTGTGCTTGTAGGCATTTTCAGCACAAGGCAGTCTGCCATGTGAACTTCAGACCAGACTGGTGCATCTCACTTTTCCTCACTTTTCCTTTGTCAGGTTGCTCAGCATCCCTTCCTTACTCCAAAGTCTACGTTTGCTTTGAGGAAAAAAACATCTTAAAAATTATTTCTTGTCCTTTGTTCTGTTCTGGCTGATTTGGGAGCAGTTAAGTCTTGTATTTCTTTATAGCTCAGTTCCAAGTCTAGTCTAGAAAATACCAGTTGGTTCTGAGCTCCAGTTACAAAGCTGACTATAATCAGACTCCACTCTGAAGCTGTCATTTGCTGTGATTACCTTTTTATTCTACCTCTGAAGTGCAGAGCAGTGAAAGGAACAGCCAAGCAGTAAATACGCAGCCCCTGATCACTTCATTCCGTTTCCATTTCACAAGGCTGGTATAAACTTACTGTGGTGTGTAAATTGCAATGTAGTAGAATCTTATGAGGATACAGTCTCATGAAATCATCTGCCAGTTTTGTGTTCAATAGGAGCAAAATTTGATGTTCAAGCCAAAAAATGGAAAGGATTCAGATCAATTCAATACATTGAAAGGCACTTTTTGGGTTGCTTTGTTTGCAGAATTCAAGCTTTACATTTCCTGCCTTTTAAGAGCAACAAACTGCCTTTCCCCCAGTACTTGTATTTCTAAGGGTCAGGTGAATGCACAGCCCTTTCTCAAGGAATGCTCCAGTGGAGAACTGGGGGGTGCAAAAGCTCCCATTGATGATGAACCTGTCATCTGTAGGATCAGATGAAGTCTGTGTGATCTCTCTAGGCAGGCTTGCTTGCTCGAGGCACTTATGCTAATTTTCAGAGAGAGATTTTTTTCAGAAGGAAATGTTCAGGGGATTTCATGTCAAATGTGACCACTGCTAAAGGACCACGAGCAGGGTCAGTACCTGAGCAGTGTGTGAGCTACTGCTAGGCAGAACTTAATGTTCTCCAGTTTTACAGCTTGATTTGCAAGTCTGTCATGTTCTTATCTGTGCAGATTTGTTTGTAATTAGTAGCTGTGCAAGGGATTTGGTTTAAAAATGAAAGTGTAAATTTCCTGAACACCATCTTGATACTGAACTTGGGTCTGGTTGCTGTCAGACTGCCTTAAAGAAATTTCAAAGATCCACTCTCACTTTTTTGTATTTCTAAGTTTCCATGGATAGCAGCTGTCTTTACCAACACTACTTAGGGGACTGTGCAGCAAAATGTTCAGGTTTTTTTTGGTGATGCCACGGGTTAGAATGTCTCTGGGTCATGTGTATATATGTTTGTGTGTGTGTGCTGTGGCATGACAGGCTCTTTCCTCTAAGCAAGAAGCCAACAGGAGTGTGCCTGGGGCTGGGGTTGTTCCTGAAAAGCAATAAAAACCTGCTGTTATTGTGCAATAGTTCTGGGGTTTTCTATAGATATGCTATTGCTCATGTGTAAGAAAATGGACATAATGAGCCCACAGGTGGTACAGTTGCTGAAATGTCTGCCTGTTGACTGTGTTAATATTCCCACTGAGTCACACAGACATGTCAATTCTTCTGTCCCCAAAGAGCAAACTGAACAGGTTCTGGCATCACTCCCAGTGTTTGCTCACTCCTTCAGGGAAAGGGAGGGAGTTACCCCTGTCCCTCAGGAATGCTCTGATCTAGACATTTCAGTCAAACACTTGTGTGCTCTCAAAGGGCAACTGGGAAAGTTTTTTTATCCCTGCAGGAGCGGAAGCCTTGTTGCCTGGTGCTGGATTACTGTGCTCTCTTGTAAATCAGGCTTTACAACAGCAGGGCTTCATTCTAAATTTAAAATAAAAATAATACCATTTTCTCATCTTGAAGAAAATTTTCAGGTGTCCCTATAGAAACACAGTTTCAGATGAGAATTTTGTTTAAAGGGAAAAGCAGAACTTGTGATGAGGGCTGCAAACATATAAAAGCAGTTTGAGTCACAAGGGCAGTTGGACTCTTCATAAAATGGAGAGATTTGGTCCATCTCAGTCTTCAGAGGGAAAATTCTGCACTTCTCAAGTGACCTAACAGTTGGACATAATAAATAAAGACATCTACCTTGCCTGTGTGATTTAATGTAATTTCTTTCCATGTTTAACACGCCAGCACAGAAGGTAGCCCTGCCTTTTCCCTCAAGTTTAGACTGATGCCTTGCCTGTGCAGATGTGAATGGGGCTCCTCTCCTGCAGGGGTGTAATGTCTGCATTTTGGAAGAGATCAAAGGAAATCTACTGGCTTTGGCAATTAATTTTGGTTTCAAGAGAAAACTGAAATCAAATTGCAGTGTTCATGCAGTGTGGACTAAAAATTATGTAATACTCCTAGAGGAACTCTGCACTGGTTGTTCAACTGCTGGTTATACAGAGTGAAGCCAACAATTATTTATATAGCTATTTATTTATGTAATCTTGACATGGTTATTTGAGGGAAGTAATTTACAATTTCTAGGATAAGTCTTGAATAAGTGAAAGAAAAATTCTGCAGCACAAAATAGATCTGTGTTGCTGTAGAAGGCATTGATTACACTATAGCATGATTGTGCACTGATTAAGGTTTTCAAGTGGCTAAAAATAAATTCCTCCATGCCCATAGAGGAGCACTCTTTGCATCTGAACAGTATTTGGTTAAGAATCCAGTGCTTGAGGGAACTGGAAAAGAGAAAGATATTAAAGGGTTTGAAACATGGAGAGAAATACAGACATTTTCCAAGCAGTAGCATTTTACTGTTAAATATTAGCCAATTAACAAAATTTGAATGTTATATAAGCAAATAACACATGTCCTAACCTGTCCAGTGTGTGTGAGTCACCAAAAGGCAAGCTCTTGGTAGGAAATGCCAAGGGCATCTCTCCTTAAAATTAGCATCAGAATTAGAAGATCTGTGTTAGGTCCTTAATTTCCTGTATCCAGGGGCTTGTCTAATTGGGGAAAATTAAATGGTAAACACTCTCTCTCGGGGAATGCTCTTAGAGAAGCAGGATCCATGCAGGAGCCAGTCAGTCAGTTCAGCTGGTAAATCCCCAGCAATGTCTGTTACTCCTGGCTCCAGGTGGGGCTGAAGACACTGCCTGATGAAGGGCTGTGTGCCAGGGTGTCAGGGACTCTCATCAATGGCTGATCTGTGTTAGTTACCATGTGCTGGCTAACGACTTTTATTTTTCCTTTCTGGTAAAAGTAGACCACCAGAAATTTGTTGCTTCCTCTTCTGTTATAAAAACAAGCAAAAGAATTGTAATAGTTAAATCTATATTCAGTCCCCAAAGTACAGCTCTTCAGTTCTGCAGCTTCCATTGCTGTGGTGCAATGAGTGACTGAAAAGGAAAAAAGTCTTATGCCAGTGCAATTCACTCGGTTTTGAAGCTTCCTGTGAGTTAAATGCGATTGCACACTTGGGTCTGCTTTCACACTGGTCCTCTGGGTAGGTGTTTGCTTGTGCAGCTGGAAGTAGATGGGCATTGCCAAATAATTTCTGTGACTGCTTGGCAAAACCTCACTGTGCCTGTGCTCACAAATAGCCTAGTGCTAGCAGCAGCATTTTTGGTAGTGAAGTACTATTGAAAAGCATGAAGGAAGGCAGTATAAAGCAAAAGTGCCAAGATTGCAATGTACAGTTAGTGCATAATGGGCATAATTTTTTTTTAGAAAGACCTCAAAGCAGAGGCTGAGTTTAAACAACTGTCTGCTGAATATTTTGTATGACACACAATCAATAAAGCAATATTCTTGAAAATCTTAGGAAGGTCAGTTGTGCTGGAAATAGAGTGCTAAGTGCACAGAAGTTCCTGGGTA